CAATAATACAATTGATATCTGAGAAACTCTCAAATTAATATATAATAGCAATACTGAGATATAATAATCGAATATTAAACTTTATTGATAACATTGTTGAAAAATAGAATGACAAGAAACAACGTGATAAGAAAATCATGTGTCTATAGCGATTCTTAAAGACTTATCACTAGAGCTTCATATTCTCTAAAAAAATCTTCAAGAAAAAACAATCTTTAAATCAATATGATAAAAAGTAAAAGAAGAAAAAGAGAAAAGTGAATATATCTATAAACAAGAAAAATATTTCAAGAAGAACGATGAATACATCACACTCTTCAAACATAAAGAAATTAGCAAGAAATTATTTTACGAAAAAGAAATAACTTAGAGAGGATAATAATATTAATAGTCGATCAAGAAAATAGAATCAACAAAATATATTGAATTCAAAGATTAAGAACTATTATTGTCTTTATCAGAAGAAACAATGCGACAACTATCAAGCTTATTCTCCAAAATTATGTTAAGACATCTGAGATGATTAACTTCCTCTTGAAAGTGATAATTTTCTTCTTGGACATGGGTAAATTCTAATGAGTAATGTTTAACGAAATAGCAAAGATCTTCAATGACTTTGGGAAATGGTTGATCATGAAAAAAGAAAGTTGGAGGGAAAGAATTGGCAATAATAGAACTAGTATAGTTTATAATAGCAAGGTAGTCATAGCAAGAACTTAGTAATCGTACTGCGTTTGATAAGAGACTCATATGGTCCAAAACTTCAGTCAAAGAAGCTTTCATCAAAGCAAGATCCTTTTTAACAATATCCATTTCATCAGATGAAGAAAGGACAATAGGAGAACCAATAGGAGTATTTGAGAAAGTACTCTTAAAAGACATTCTTTGAAACTAGAGGAAGAATATCATATCATATTATAATCTTTTTATTAATATTAATAAAGCACAAGTTCATGGAAACTTATGGAATAATGTAATAATAATAAAAGAAAAAGGAAAGAATTAAAATATTAATAGATTTATTGAAGAATGATAAGGAATAAAATCGAAAAATTTGTAAAAAATATCGAAGAAAAGTTAAGAATACTTAAGAACTTTTTATACTATCAATAAGATTATGAAGAGATCTATTCTCTTCACATAAAGAAACATTTTCAGAACAAAGAATAATAACCTGAGAATTAAGTTCTAAAGTAAAATCACGAAAACATTTAATCTCATTTTTAAGAAAAGAATTTTCTAAGCGAAAAGTAGAAATGGCATTCTAAAGTTTACCAAGTTCTTTGCTAAGAAATCCATAAGAACTGTTGAAGGACTAACATAGAAAATCAACCATCAAATAAAGAGGATGATTCATAGGAAACAATGGAAAATGATGATGGATAGCTTCATTAATGGAAAAAATGATAGATGAACCATCAGAAACTTTAAGACAACTAAGTTGAGTCCAAATATCAAGGATAGATTCTTGAATATCAACTGGTAGATGATGAGAACGAATGAGACCTTCCTCAAGAGATTTAAGCAAATCAAAGATAGAGCTATAAAAAAAACCATAGGATCAGAAAAACAATAAAAAAAAAACAAATAACAAAACAAGAATATAATTACTGGATGGAAGAAGACATTTTAAAGATTGAAAAATAAGAAAAAATAAACATCTCTACTTAATATGAGAATATTTAACAAATATTACTAAAAAAGGAATCTTTATAGACAAAACAAAAAGGAACAAATAGTAATAAGAATTTAGGGAAAATGAAATATTTGAAAAAAACTTCTGAAGAAAATATTAAATAAAAGTTGGGAGTATGAAAATGAATAGCCATGGAAAAACGATTATGAACTAAGAAGATTAAGAAAGCTTTGAAAAGAAGAATATTTAAAGAAAGCTCAAGAAAAATAATATAAAAAGTTAGTGAAAGACAAAAGATAAAAATAGTAACAAGTGGCATGAAATGAATATGATATTCAATAAAACCTAAGTAAGATATTAAACTGCATGAAAAGTAATATGAATAATCTTATAAGTCAAAAAGACATATGATGATTAATGAGGCAACACCACATGTGCAGTTTCTTAAAAATAATAAAAAGGAGCATCAATGATTAACAAAAGAGATCTTTTAATGACAAAGAAACAAAACTTTAACATTGAAATAAAAATGATCTGTCAAAGGACAAACAAAGAAAAGTATAATAAAGATTATTATAAATCAAAATGCTTTCATCTGTTGCTAAAGGAAACATTCTTAAAAATCAAGTTTATGAAGAACTTCAACGAATAAAAATTGAATCAAGAAGGGTTGAAAGAAAAAGAAATAATGGAATAGATATAGAGAAAAAAATAGTCAGAAGATTGTTTGTAATACAAGCTAAAAATTGGAAAACCATAAAAATTGGTAAGCTGGCCACTTACTAAGTTTGTTGAGTTATTATATAGTCTGAAGTTATGCTGCCACACATAGAATCCCAGATATGTGAACCTGTGAACCAACAGTGGAGATTGTGATGTGAGCCAGATTATATGGTGAATAGGACTATATGATGAACTGAATTGAAAGCATATTAGGCCACAATAGATAAAATCTGTTGTGAATGTTTTTTAGGAAATCTTGATAGCAATGACATAAACTCATCAAAGATTTAAATTATAGGACCAAGTACTATTCGAGAACTTGAAGGAACATTAGAAAGAAAACTGACAAGAACTATAGAGATAGTTATAATCCCAAGTGACAATCGATATACAGCAGGAGCAATAAGATATGTCCAAACATCTAAGTATGATATATTGTTGACAATTATAGAAAACTTGTGTATCGATCTTATTAACTTTGTCACAAAAATAGAAACAAGAACATTTAAGATTTTAAGAAATGTATTTAATATAACATTTATTATAGGAGTATTTTTATATATAATAGTAAATAAATTTATCTAATTTGTTAAAAATTCTTTGTACCTGTAATATAATTGACAATAATGAAAATATAAAAATATTCTAAAATCTATATAATTAAATTGATGAATATTTTATTATCACGATCTCTGGAGATAGTAACTACATTTTTACAATGACTAATATTATAGTTTGTATCAAAAAGATATTTTAAAAGTTTCCTAGAGTGACTATAACAATGGTCCCTGTGGAACCTAGGAACCATGGGATTGCCCATGAAAAAGAATGATAATATAAAAAAAACTATGATGATAATTTCTTGTCAGGAGTATTAAAATCTAAATTATCAAAAAAATCAGGAAGCTCAGAGATTTTGGAGGCTTTTGGATCCTCAACCAATAAATTGAAAAGGTCTTTAAATAAATCTTGAGAGCCTTTGGAAAGAAATGGATCTTGGAAAGTGGATAAACTTTTGTTAGGAACAAGAATATTGTTATCTTGATCAAGAATCTTATTAGATTGCAAAACAGTGGCGTGAAGATAAATAGCAAAGATTATAACCTTGAAAACAATATCAGAAAGTTGAAAGAGTAGAGTACAGAGGGTACTAATCTCTTTACTAAGATTCTTGTTCTGTTCAGAAAGGGCTTGATTTCGAGTCTTAAGAATTTGAACTTCTTTAGCAAGAACTTGAAAGTAAAAAAAAGGCTTTAATGATTTAGATGAGGTGTCTTTGGACATCTTAATGATAAATAATGAAAAATGGGAAAACTTATAGAAGATAAGAACCAATTAAATTAATATAAAACAGAATATTGCAGAAAACTAAGGTACCTGTGAATTATCCAATATTACTAAATAAGATATAAAAGAATTGTAAATATAAATAAACAACATGAAGATCAAAACTTGTAAGTAAGCAAGAAAAATAATTTTAAGTATTAGCACTATACATGTGGTGTAAATTATTTTGCTGTTGACTCAATTGCCAAAATCCTCAAAAATAATTGCATCAATTGCGTCAAGGATCTATCAATTTCTACCACATGTATAATTAGCACTATAAAATTATAGGATGGAATCAATTAAAATATGAAAGAAATAAAAAGAACAAGATAGAAAGGAATAAACAAATGAATCATTCATCTATCAGATCAATAATCTCGTGAGAAAGATTATTGATTAAATGAGAATATAATGGGTCACGAGAAGAAGGTTTTAAAGGAGCAGTGTAAACAATAGAAGGCGTTGAACAAAAAAACTTTGAAAAATAATCGATGGGATTACAATTCACAAAAGGATCAAAAAATAACTCGTCTGGATGAATAATTGTAAGATCTTCAGAACTCTGATGATAAGTACCTCTAATGTGAGAATGAGTATGAGGATGAATTTTGATATTATGTTTACAATGAAAATAAAGAAATTTGTCAACTAGAATAGGATTTGGGTTATAACAATTAAGATTACTAAGATGCTTGAATTCAAACTGATAAAAGTTTCTCTCTGATTTGAGAAATTTAACATATGCATGAAGAAATGATACTTTATTGGGAAAATCTGAACAACAATTAGAGAAATATTTGTCGAAAGAAGGATGATAGTTACCTATAGCAAGAGGGAAATATCCTGAATGGCTTGAAGAAACTCTGGGCATAATAAAAAGGTAAAGAATGAAATAGTGTGATAAGTAAATTAAATAATGAAATATGTTAACAGAATAAAACAGAAAGAAAAAGAATAATTTTGACAAATATTTACAAAACAACAAAAAGGAAAAATGTAGAAAGGAAAGAAAAAGAAACTTTTAGAAAAACAAGGGGAGAAATGTACTAGAATAAAATTGCTTATAAAAGAAACTGTTATATTATAACAAATTGACAGGATTAAAAAAATCTGATTACAGACAAGAAAATGAACAAACAAGTTTCTCTTAGAAAGAAAGAGAAATGATTACAAGAAAAGACCTTAAGAAAGAAGAAACAAACAAAACTGAAGACTTCGAGATTATTGAAAAACAAGGATCTATCAAAGAAGATAAAGTAGAATCTATAATTGAACAAAAATTCCATAAAGAATTTGAATCTGAACTTGCAACACTTGATCTTGAAGAAACATCAAAGGAAGAAAAACAAATCAAGATCCTTAGACGATCAACATCAGAAAAAGAAAAAAAGGATTGAAAGAATGAACGACAACCTGTCAACAATTCAAGAGGAGGACGAATGGACTATTCAAGGGGAAAATCACCAAAATACTATAGTCAGAAATGAGAAGAGAACAATTACATGAAAAGATATGATGAATACATGGGATGAGAAAATCGAGATATTTGAGAATCAACAACAAAACTTCTTATAGCAGTACGAGGTGAAATTCTAAGAGTACCCAAAAGAATATAACAAGAATACTTTAAGATTGCAGACCATCTTATAACAATCCAAGATGACCTGGTATCCAAAGAAGGAAACCATACAGGTAAGAGATATATAGAAAAATGTTATTATTGTATGCTGAAAGGGCATCCTGTGAGAAAATGTAGATATAAAAAAAAAGATGATGAAAATGGAAGAGATCAAATAGAAATCCAAAAATTAATCTATGACAATCAAAGAAAACTAATGAAACAAAAAGAACCCCAACAACAAAAAAGATTTAAAAGAAATGTGACGAGACATTGCTATACATGTGACAAAAGAACAACTGAAGAATATTGTATAAGATCAGAATATATGTGTCAAAAACACTATAGTAAGAACCTGGAAGTGAAAAAGTTAAGAATAAATGAAACTAATGAACAGAGAAGAGAAAGAACATACAAAGAATGGGAAATTACTAGAGGATATTGCAAAGAATGCAAAATGAGAAGTGAAGAACATCATACTAACTACTATTGTAAAGAATACAAATGACTTTTTGAAATATTAAAGGATTACTGTGTTTGCATAGAACCTTATACAAAGAATAAAATAGAAGAAGATAGAAAAAAGAAACGGAATTCTTAGGAGGATGGAATGAATCCACTCCATGGAAGAATCCAGAACCATCTGCAATGACAGGACTGATAACTGTACCAATCAGACTAAAAACATTTGAAGCATTGAAAGGAAAAGCTCTTATTATCAGATTAGAGATAGTATCAAATACAGAATATCAGGAAAATTATAAAAGGATCCCAACAGAACCTTTGAATCAAACAATCATATCAATCACACCAATTGTAACAACTATAATCACTACAGTTGAAGAACAAGAAGCAAAACAACCTGAGGATTTATTGACAGGAACGACAATACAGGGAGACTCTATATATCGATCTGAATATATTGAAATATTCGACAAGGATTCTTATCAGAAAATAAAAGAAACTTATATATATCCTGATAAGAAGAATATTTGAGAAGAATTATTAGACCAAAAAAAAATACTTAAGACATCAGAAGAAGGATACTTTGAATTTCCAGAATCTAAAAATATTGAAGAAATAATTAAAATGGTAAAAATAGAGATAATAGAAGATAAAAAAGAAGAAAAAGGAACTTGAAGCCAAACATTATAATAGAAACACTTACAAAAATATTCTATGAGAAATCAATAGACAAAGATGAAAGCCAATAAACTTCAAGAAATTGAAAAAGAAAACAATATTCTCAAAAGAGAAGAATATTATACAACAAGTAAAGCAATAAATATATCACAAGTAAAAAGACAAGTAACTTTTAAAAAAGAAATGATTGAGCTAAGAAAGATAAAAATCAATCAACAGCAAATAAGAAATCTAGAGAAGTATGTTAACTGACCAGATAAAGAAGACAATATGTCAAACACTTCAGAAGAAATCATCAAAAACTGGTCAGCTTATTGATCAGAAGACGAAGAATCAGACTCAAATGAACCTACTAAACATTGGGATGATTATATATTATCAGAAAGTAAAAATGAGAGAATAAACAGACACCGAACACAAGAAGAGATCGATGAAATAATGAAAGGTACATGTAAAGACCTCAAAATAACAGAAGAACAGAAAAATATGAAAAAATATGATAAGATGAACCAAGAAGAAAAAGAGAAATTCAAAGAGGAGACAAATGAAATGATAGGGAGACTCTATAAAGATTTAAAAATTGAAGAATCTATAGGAAAACCAGTAAATAAAGGGTTAGAGTATGAAATGTTAGAATGGATTAGTTCTAAAATAATGGATGGAAAAATGAGTGAAATAGTAATACCAAAGGAAATCCAGTTCTTTGATGAATTCTTCCCAGTAGACAAAACACTTCAATATATTAAAAAGAAAACAACATTTGATAATTACAATGAAATAGAAGAAGAAATTCAACAGAAAATAAATGGTAAATATACAAAGAATTTTATGACAAATGAAATACTAGCATTTATAAAATGTGCAATGGAAAAGATGTCACCAAAGGAATTAATAAACAGGTTAATTATCAAAATAGCAAAACTGGAAGTGGAGTATAAACAATTAGAAGGGAAGTTTAAAAAGTTGAAAAAGAAAGGATATATGTACTATTTAATGAGAAAACCCTTAAGTAACAAAGAATGAATTGAGAAGTGGAGGGACCTCACAAAATGGAAAAAAGACTACATGGCACTTATAAATTTAATAGAAGAAAACTAGCAATAAAAGAAATGGAAGAAAGAGTAATGAAATCAAATAACAATGTTGATCCTGCCTATCTAAACTATATCAAAGAAGATAAACAATATAAAATCTGGAAGAAAGAAATACTCAAAGAAATAGAAGAAAAAGGAGCAGAATATTGAACAAAAAAAGAAAAAGATATTGATATAATTTTACAAATGTGAAAAAATAATAATATAACCTCATAATATAAAATAGCAAATTATAGTTAAATAATTAATTTATCATTAT